AAGTGAACCCACGATTTTCGACTTTCCGGATTCGACACGTGTCCATAAACGGGATCATATCTCAGAGACTAATTATCCGATCCGAGTGAACAAAGTGTTGTTTTGAAGAGGAGTGTATATGTTACAACTCATCCTGGCTTCCAAGTGTGTATCTCAAAAACTCAAAAAGATACGAGGCTGTGAATTTGAAAAAGTTTGAAAATTTCCAGATTTTCTTAAAATGTCGCGATATATGAGGGCAAAGTAAAACCAGAATTACAAAAATCGGGCACGAATGCGTAGAGCACAAAATTCCAAAGAGAATGACACCGAAAACGCCGGACCCGGACCCAAAACCAACGCGCAGTACTGCCGCGAATATAGGCAACGTAAGCGCACTCGGACAACTCAGGAGGCATCTGACGAGCCTGGGTCAAGTATGGATGTGTACCAATTAAGAAATAATCATTTATAAAAATGATTATATTTACAATATCCCTATGTTAAACTATTAATTATTAACTAATATTTTCGTTAAGAAAAATTAATATAAAAGAACATTTATGAAATGAATTAAACGATTCAAAACAAAAATTTTGTTTAATTTCAATATACTATACACGATTGACGTTTTCACGAAAATAACTGCGGCAGTGTCCGACACTGCCTACCATTTTTTGTTCTGTGGGGCCCGCGTACATATTCATAACGCAATCATCACTTTATATAAGCCAAGTGACCGCCAAAATTACGTACTTAATTTTAAGTGAATAATAAAAATAAATTTAAAAAAACTGAGAACGCATAATACGTGAACCTGTCTGCATTTTTAACAAACTGCTATGAAGTTTCTATTATCGTCATCCGACGGCCAACGAATCGATAAGCGTGGCGCCATAAATGTCGACAACCCCTAGTTAATGGGTAAGTTATGCAATTTGTGTTACAACACGTGCTACTAGGATCCCTACGTCAAATGCTTGTTCCGTGAAAGCACACCGTCAGCACAGCCGATCACCGAATGCGTCCTAAATATCTCCAAAGGTTTCGCAAACTATTAACGAACACCTGTTTGTGATATTTAATTCTCACAGCGTTCTCAAAGATGGCCAGTTACAAGTTCTTGTGACATCGTTTAAAGAAAGTGTTACTGCAATTATCAACTGCCAGTCAGATCAACTAATCTGTTCCAAGGTAACACGTCTAGTGCGTTACCTGTCTCGTCTTTCCTTCTCAGTCTCGCCAGTGAATCTTCTAAAAATTAAAATGAACGGGTAAAATTCGTATCCGACAGAGTGCGTTTCTTGTACCTGACCAATGAAAAGTTCTACCAAGTACAAAATAACGCCGTTATGATACGTCATGGGTTAGGTTACTAAAGTACATTAAATTTGTCGAAATAAAAGCAAAGCACTGCGTGGGAGAATGGAAAATAATATAAAATTCATCGGAGAACCTTAAGAAAGGAGACCATCTGAGAGAAATGGGCGTAGATGGAAGGATAATACAATAACTTTAAAACAATAAGATACGAGTGTGAAATGGATTATTCTGGTTCAGTAATCGATGCATCTTGTGAACGCAGTAATGAACTTCGGGTTCCATGAAAGGCGAGGAATTCCTTATCGAACTGAAAGTGAAGAGTAGTGGCTTCTAGAGGAAGACTACGACATGGAATTACTCAGTTTAGGGAACAGTAAACCACTCTTCAGTAATAGACCCCACACGCCTCGTGGCCTGAATACTCCCCGATCGCAGGGCCTCATTTGTGAGTGATGACAGAAATAACTCACGCCCGGTTGTCAGCGGTACCTTATTCGGGTCAAGATCTTTATTACAACTTTCAGCAAACAACTTTCATTACTTTGTTTTGCAGCTATGCATAAACGACGTTTACAAA